TTTTTTAAGATTATTTGAAAGAGAGAATGCATGTGCACACGCTAGCAGGGAAGGGGCAGAATAAGAGAAACTCAAGCAGACTCCATGCTGAACGTGAAGCCCAACACAGAGCTCGATCATATGACCCTGAGATCATGACCCAAGCCTAAATCAAGAGGTGGATGCTCAACCAGCTGAGCAACCCAGGCGCCCCAATATATAGAACTTAAATATTCAGCTGACCCTTGAACACCACAGGGGTTAGGGGCACCAACCCCCCCACAGTCAAAAATCCACATACAACTTTTGACTCCCCAAAAACTTAACTACTAATAGCCTACTGTTGACCAGAAGCCTTACCAATAATATAAACAGTCGATTAACACATATTTTGTATATTATATGTACTATATACTGTATTTTTACAATATAGTAAGCTAGAGAAAAGAGATGTTAAGAAAATCATATGGAAAATATATTTATAGTACTGTACTACAAAAAACCCATGTATAAGTGGGTCTACACAGTTCAAAACCATGTTGTTCAAGGGCCAACTGTATAGAGTTTATTTTGCCATTGTGTTGACCACTGCATTCTACTACTGGTATATGGATAATAGAATATTGCCAATCTCTTACTAGTATTCATTCAAATAATTAAATGTTAAATTGCATTTGTGAATGTGGTAAGAGCCTATTAAAAAAAAAGGCTTAGCCTAGTCAATGAGATGCCATGCAGAAGCTAAAAGATCAGTAGGATTCAAAAACTCAAGTAGTGTCATCTGCAAAGGCCCTGTGGTGGTAACAAACATGGTGAGTAACCCTGGAAAGTACAAAAGGCTGAAAAACAAGCAGATCTATGGGCACATAGAAGACAGAGTGAATGGGAGCAGGGTGAACAAGGTCTAGGCCTCACAGGCTGTTGCAGGCAAGGCAAGCGAACATCCTTTGTGTTTCCATGTCATCGCTGTGTGATTTTCAATGGTGCCACTTCACATTCAAAAGTGTCCTTGTGTGAATGATAAATTATATGATACCCTATTCACTGGCCTTGGTCAAAGTACTGCCAGTGTTATGGTGATGATGATGATTAGCCATTATTATGGAAGGACAGCAGACAGCCTTTGAAGAGGCTGTGCTGTTAAAAGCTCATCTGGCCACACCATGGGGAAGGAATTAGATGGGCCCAAGCAGTGGGATTAAACCAGTTAGGGCCACTGCGGTGATCCAGGCAAATGCTCTTAAAGGTGGCAGTGGTTTGGGCCAAGGTAACAGCAATGGTTGTAGTGGTAGAGACGGAGAGAAATGGGTGGCTTTAAAACAATATTTAGGTAGCAAAAAAGAAAATTATTGATGGACTGAATATGGGACTGAGGGAAAGAGAGGTGTCAAGAAGGATTCTTAGGTCTCTGACTTGCACGATTTTCTGTTCAACACACACAAACACACACACACACACACGGTGATTTAGTTATTAGTGCTAGGAATGCAACGAGAATAAGTCACAGCTGCTGTCCCATAAGAGGCTACGGCTACATCTGATGCAGGAATAGAGATGGCAAAGTATCAGGCACTGTGACCGAAATTTGTGACTGCAAGACAGGAAGGCAGTCGATCCTCGTCCCATCCCAAGGTGCTACTGCACACCACCCACTCTGAGCCACGCTACAAGGGCATCCTCAGGCTGACTGCCAGCAGTGACAGCGTGTCCGATGTCCCTCTTTGCTACACACTTCATCTAAAACTGTCCACTCTCATGGCCTCATAAGGCTGAAGTGACGACTATAGCTTTAACACCTTGGGGTTGACTGAGCTCCAGGCTGTATTAGTGCCCTGCCGCTTTCACCATATTTAACGATGGAGAAAGAAACGCCACTTCATATCGCTCCAGAGTCCTACAAAAATGAGTCATAAAAAATATATCTTTTAAAAGAAAAAAGCTTCGGGGCGCCTGGGTGGCTCAGTCGGTTAAGCGTCTGCCTTCGGCTCAGGTCATGATCCCAGGGTCCTGGGATTGAGCCCCGAATCGGGCTCCCTGCTCGGCGGGGAGCCTGCTTCTCCCTCTCCCACTCCCCCTGCTTGTGTTCCCTCTCTCTCTCTCTCTCTCTCTCACACACACACA